TGCGCGCATTTGTTTACGCAGATCTCAAGAATTCCACGGATTCCCAGCATCACCTTACCAGAAGTTGCGTTTTGGAAGGATTCAGGATTGTGTGGGTGCAACAGTTGCATTGATTCTTTGTGTTGAAGTCCTAGGAATGGCGTTCTGGCATGCTTCAGGACCGTCAAGACGCAACAGTCAGGCTGACCCGTGGCGTTGGAATCCCGAGAATAATGCTTCGGCATGCTTCAGGATCTTCCAACGGGCGTCTTCCAACGAGGCAGCTCCATCACTGGAAATGAGCCGTCGTGGGGGCCTCCGCAGAGGGAGCTCGGAAGGAGGGCTCGCTCCAAGATCATCGTCGATGACTCTTGGGTTTGCACTGGTCCTCCTCCTCCTTCCCTTCCCCCCAGCGTTGGCGTCATTTCCCGTGCCATGCCACGGCATGCAATGCAATGCTAGGTTGATGCTGCGCTTTGCGGTGCTCTTCTACGCCATGCCATGCCGTGCTCTACAATGCAGCGCGCACCCTTTCGAGATGATTGCCCTGCTCGACATCCGACTGCGCGAGCAGAGAGGGGATCTGCGCCGTGGCAAGGGATGGGAGGGAGGGGTAGGATGTCAGACATGACGCGAGCGCACCTACTTGGCCTCCCCCCCCTCCCCCTCCTCCCCCGCCCTGGCCCGGAGGGGCAGGCCGGTGGAGGCCCGCCCCGCCTCGGGGGGGGGGCCGTGGCCGCCTGCCCCCGCCCTCTGGCCCTCTCGGGCCCTCGAGAGCCCCCGCCCCCGCCCGCCTCGGCGCCTCGGCGCCTCGGCGCCTCGGCGCCTCCGCTCCCCGCCCTTTGTCCGCCTCCGCCGCGGCCTCCGCGCCGGCCTCCGCGGGCCCTCGGCCTCCTCGAGCCCTCGGGAGCCCCCATCCGCCTCCCCTTCGGCGCCGCCGCCTCGGCCCGCGTCGCCGCCTCCGCCTCTCCGCCTCCGCCTCCGGCGGCGACGGCCGCCCTCGGGAGCGGAGGGGGGGGGGGTGCCCGGAGGGGCTGTGCGGTGCGGGGATCTGCCCAGAGCCAGCGCAGAGGCCGATCGATCTTCGGGGAACGCCGGCAGTCGGTGGATATGAATGCAGATGGGCCCCCCGAGGGCCCGAGCATATCCATATCCACCGCCTGCCGAGGTCCTCGAAGATCGATCCTCCAGGCGGACGCTTTCGGGCGTTTGTCGTGGGTTGTTCGTGGCGATTCAGCCTCGGGACGCTTTTCAGTAGCTGCGCCTCCATAGCTCTCAAGGACGAAGGCCCGTGCCTTTTCCGATGGGGGCTCTCGCTTGAAACCCTGTCGCATTTGCATGTTTGAGGCTTGGACATCAGCAGCAGTTGCGCGGGTGGAGGGCGGTTCTTGTTCAGAGTTGTGCTTTCGCATCTGACCTCCGCTTCAATTTTCGCAGCCAGAGGTGTGTCTTCGCGCAGCAGTTGCACACATGGAGTGTCTGTTATTCGGCATGGGGCTCTCGTTGGACACCCCGTGGAACGCTGGGATCCTACCTCGCCGCGCTCATAGCTCAAGAATTATGTCGGGCCTGTCCCTCTACAGGGGGAATCTTCAAAAATAGTCAAAGAATAGCCTTGGGACTATTTTTTGACAATGTTTGAGCATTTTTGGGACATTGTTTGGTATTTTATAAATTTTTCGTCCACAATCGGCCTGTAGGGGGACAGGCCCGACTTCACTCAAGAATGATGCAGGGCAGTTCCTTTTTCAACACGGGGCCCGTCCGGGTGGCAGGCCCACGGGGGTGCGGTAGGTCTGTGTCGTGCCGACCGTCGGCGACCCCGCCGCCGGCGTTCAACGTTGAACGCCGCTGGCGACCCAGAATCAGTCGATGTTGAACGATCGGACGTTCTGGAAACGGCCGATCGTTCAAGGTTGAACGATCCCCGCGGTATCAGGGACCAACGCCGGGGTCGTCACGACACGAACCTACCGTGCTCGTTTTCCAGGGGTGCGCCTCCTGCAGCGACGGCGAGGGCCTGCAGCCTTGGGCCCGTGCGGAGGGAAGCCGTGCCGGGAGGGCGCATTGCAGCCTCCGTGCTGCATCCTGGGTTTGACCTCTGGTCCTTCCCCCTCTTCTCTCAGTCTCTCCCCCTCCTCCTCCCTCTCCTCCTCCGCCTCCTCCTCCTCCTCCTCCTCCGCCTGCTCCCTCCTCCTCCTCCTCCCTCCTCCTCCTCTTGCTCCTCCGCCTCCTCCTCCCTCCCTCCTCCTCCTCTCCTCCTCCTCCTCCTCCTCCTCCTCCTCATGCTCTCTCAGCCTCCCCTGCTCCTCCTCCTCCTCCTCCTCCTCCTCCTCCTCCTCCTCCTCGCTCAGTCTCCCTCTCTCCGCCTGCCTCTCCTGCACCCCCCCCTGCCTCGCCGGGCCACGGGACGTCCCTGCCCCCCGGGGGCGTGTCCCTGCGCGGGGCCCTCGCGGAGGCCTCCGGGGGGGGGGGGCGGCGGTGGCGGCCGGGCGGCAGGCTCTGGAGCTCGCTCCTGCAGGAACACGTCGAGGTCCGCAAGGCCCCCGCGCGCCCGCCCGCTCTCGCCACTGCCGCGTCGGCGGCGGCGTCGTCGTCGTCGGCGGCGGCGGCGGCGTCGTCGTCGTCGTCGTCGTCGAGGTCGAGGTCGAGGTCGAGATCGAGGTCGAGGTCGAGGTCGAGGTCGAGGTCGAGGTCGAGGCCGAGGTCGTCGTGGAGGTCGCCGGCGTCAAAGTCGTCGATGTCATCGTCCAGGTCGAGGTTCGATGACTTCGTGGTACTCGTCGAGGTCGCGTCGGCGCCGGCTGCGGCGGCGGCGCAGGGCGGTGGCCGTCGCGGGGACGGGGGAGGACGGCCGAGGAGGGAGGGCGGCAGGGGCGTGGAGGAGGAGGGTGGGGGTGGGCGACAGGACGGCCGAGGAGGAGGAGGGGGAGGAGGAGAACAGGAGGAGGAGGAGGGGGAGGAGGAGGAGGAGGAGGAGGAGGAGGAGGAGGAGGAGGAGGAGGACGGCCGAGGAGGAGGGAGGAGGAGGAGGAGGAGGAGGAGGAGGAGAAGGACGGCCGAGGAGGAGGGAGGAGGGTGGGGGGTGGGCGACAGGACGGCCGAGGAGGAGGGAGGAGGAGGAGAACAGGAGGAGGAGGAGGGGGAGGAGAAGGAGGGGGGGCGACAGGACGGCCGAGGAGAAGGAGGGCAAGGGCGTGGAGGAGGAGGAGGGGTGGGCGACAGGACCGCCGAGGAGGAGGAGGGGGAGGAGAAGGACGAGAGTCGCCACCCACCAAACCACCCCAAACCCAACCCGAAGGCCCCACTTTGCCCTCCATCCCGGTAGGGGGGGGTCGTCGGGGCACATTGGCCGAGCACAGATGGAACCCGTACGCCCCCCACTCCGAGATTCGGGCCTTCGGGTTGGTTTTGGGGTGGTCTGGTAGGTAGTCAGAGAACGAGGTGGGCAAGGAGAGGGAGGAGTACAAGGAGCAGGGGGCCGATGATGATGCTGATGCTGCTGATGATGATGATGATGCTGATGGTGATGCTGATGCTGATGCTGATGCTGATGCTGACGATGATGATGATGACGATGCTCATGATGATGATGATGATTGTGATGATGCTGATGATGATGCTTATGACTTGCTGATGATGCTGATGCTGATGCTGATACTTCTGATGATGATGGTGATGATGATGCTGATGCTGAAACTGATGCTGTTGCTGCTGATGATGGTGATGATGGTGATGAGGATGATGCTGACGATGAAGCATATGAGGATGATGCTGATGATGATGCTGCTACTGATGATGATGATGCTCCTCATGGTATTGATGGTGATGATGAATATGGTGATGCTGATGCTGCTGATGCTGCTGCTGCTGATGATGCTGATGATGATGATGCTCATGATGATGATGCCGCTGCTGCTGCTGATGATGCTTACAATGCGGACCAACGACTACCCCCCCCACCCCCCCCTTCGGGGGCCTCAAACATATGAGTTGGGCAGACTGCTAAAATCCAGCCGCCAGAACTGACGTTCAAATCGTTGACGACGGCTGCGGCGCTGGAGATGATGCTGATGATGATGATGATGATGTTGATGTTGATGATGATGATGATGATGATGATGCTGCTGATGATGATGATGCGGATGATGCTGATGCTGCTGATGATGATGATGATGATGATGGTGGTGGTGGTGATGCTGGTGATGACGATGATGGTGATGCTGATGCTGATGCTGATCGCGATCGTGATTATGATGAGGGCGATGCTGACCCAGACGACGCTGTTATCGCCACTGAGGCTTGTGACGATGGCGACAATGCCCATGTTTATGACGATACAGCTGTTGGTATTGCTACTCATACTGGTAAGGGAACTTCTAATTGTGTTGCTGGCTCTGATGTTGCCGAGGTTGGTGATGTTATACTGCTGCTGTTGATGACGAGGGTGATGATGTTACTGCTGGTGGTGCTGCTGTCGATGCCGATAATGATGGTGGTACTGGTGATCATGATGATGTTGTTGCTGCTGATGATGATGATGCTGATGTTGATGCTGCTGCGGATAATGATACGGATGATGGTGACGATGCTGATGCTGATGCTGATGCTGATGCTGATGATGATGATGATGATGATGCTGATGATTATGCAGTTGACCATGCTCATGATGACGATGAAGTTGCTGCTGCTGCTGACGAGGACGATGCTGCTGCTGCTGATGATGACGATGATGATTGTGATGATGCTGATGATGCTGATGATGATGCTGATGATGACGATGATGACTGCTGCTGGTACTGATGATGATGGTAGGAGGCGGAGGAGCTGGTCGAGGAGTATGCGAAGGAACAGGAGGTGGAAGAGAACGAAGGACTAGCATAACAGGACGAACGTGCAGAACGACGTGGTTGTGAATTCTTATGAGTAGGAAGCGAGGAGTGAAGACGAGGGCGCGGCGGAGGAGTCGGATGAGTGGGATTTGGAGGTTGTCATCATGATGACCATTGCACATTCGCCTTTGCTCACAATTGCCGTCCTTCCTAGTACTCTCCGTCTGGCGACGGGCTTTGTGCCGATCGGCAGTTGTGGCCCCGCAGAGGGTTGTTGTGCACTCTGGCCCGCAGGCGAGCGGGATGAGGAGGAGGCAGATTGGATAGATGGCGGCAGCGAGGATGCGGCGCTCTTGGCATGGCCTCTGCGCGTATTCGACTGTCATCGTCGCATGTACGAGTTGCGCTCTTGCAGTGCCAGTGCCGGCGTTCTGCGCTACCTTGTAGCACGACATTCCAGGGCCACCGTTGGGCGACCTGGCAGTTCGGCCTGAACTCGCGGTGTTCTAGCGCGACCTTGCAGTGCGACGTTGTAGCACGAATGTCTGGTGCGACCTTCAAATGCTACCTTGCTGCATTACCGTGCTGTGCGGCCTCGCAGTGCGACTGGGTATTGCGACACATTCCAACAATCAGGAGGGAAAGAAACACACAGACACAATTAATCGTCGACTCCCAGGAAAATATGCAAACATATGGGAAGTGAGGGGGAAGACAGAAACCAACAAAGTATGGGAAAATATGGGGAATCATTTTATTTGTGTGTATTTATTTGTGTGTCCTGGGGCCCCTTCAAACAAGCGCAGAAGCGCGCCTTCTGTGCACGAGCGGAAGGAGAGCGTGCTGCGTTCTCGACATCTCGACCTCTGTGCCACGTGCTTGCAGCCGCCTCGCGTAACCCCGGCAGCCCATCCAGAAACGGTGTCCAGGCGAGCTGCCCTCATCAGGGGTGTGGAGTTGCATGCAGTCGGATGAAGGGCTGGGAAAGCCGTCATACCCGAAGCGCGGGAGGATGACATGAGGAGAAGGATGAGGAGGAGGAGGAGGAGGAGGAGGAGGAGGAGGAGGAGGAGGAGGAGACGGATGAGAAGGAGAAGCAGGGGGGGAGGGAGGGGGGACGGCGGGAGGAGGGAGGAGGAGTAGGAAGAGGAGGAGCAGGAGGAAGAGGTGGATGAGGAAGGGGTGGTGAATGCGGCGAATGAGGTGGAGGAGGAGGAGGAGGAGGAGGAGGAGGAGGAGGAGGAGGGCGAGACGAAAGGTCAGAGGAATCTTGGATGCCCCTCGGAGTCTCCTCGGTGTCTCTGGAAAGCTTATTGAATTCCTCTTGGGACGTCTTGGGAGCCTCTTGGTGGTCCCTGTGGCCTCGTGGAGCGTCTCGGGAGCCTCGGGGGAGCCTCTTCGGGCCTATTGGGGGTCTCTTGGGAGCCTCTTGGGGACGTCTTGTCTTGGGGATCCCATGGGGCCTCCTGGGCGCCTCTTGGGGTCCTCTTGGGGCACTCTCGGGAGCCCGGGGGGTCATCTCGGGACCACCTGGTAGGAGTTCGATCAAAGAAGGGGGATACTTACTTAATGACCGCCCCCTTCCCCTCCAGGGGGCCAACACTGGCCCAGTACTTTCGGACATTCAATGATTGCTGCCTTCTCGAGAGAGCCATCTTGGACGCTCTGACACCCTGCAACCCTTCCCCTCCAGTCCCAGGCAATGGAGTAGATGGACTGGTAAATCCCTCCCCGAGGGGGGCGTCGGGTGGTCGGAAGAGGAAGATCTCTAGTTCTTTCACGCCCTAGGGGGCTGGTGGAATTTGGGTCCTCTTGGGGGTCGCGGGCGCAAGAGGATGGGAGGGGAGGGGGAGGACCAGGATGAGGATGCAGGATGAGGAGGACACGAAACGGAAGGGACATGATGCTAAGTATGAGGAGGGATGCTGATGGTGATGATGATGATGATGATGATGATGATGATGATGATGATGATGATGATGATGATGATGATGATGACGATGATGATGATGATGATGATGATGATGATGCTGATGATGCTGATGATGATGATGATGATGATGATGATGATGATGATGATGCTGTTGAGGAGGAGGAGGCGGACGAGGAGACATATGAACGGGTTCTGTGCATTGTGAGGGTGCCTTGCAGACCCATCTCCTGATGTACGTCATCTTGATGGCCGTCCTGAGTTATCTGGGGCCCTCTTGGAGCCATACCGAAGCCCTCTTTGGGGTCGACCCGTGGGGGATGGGGCGATGGGGCGATGGGGACAGGCAAGCCTCTCCCCGTGGGTAAAGAACCACCTTGTTACCGAGGAGGAGGAGGAGGAGGAGGAGGAGGAGGAGGAGGTGGAGGAGGAGGAGGAGAAGGAGGAGGAGGAGGAGGAGGTGGAGGAGGAGGAGGAGGAGGAGGAGGAGGAGGAGGAGAGGGGATTGAACGAAGAAGAGATCTGAGCCACTCACGACCTGATGGGCCTTTGCGGATTTTCCGCCCCTGGATTTCCTGGCGGTTTTGGACACCTTCTTGGAGACACTGGGAGGGTGCCGTCCAAACAAGGGGGCGGCGAGGAGTACCGTCGCCCCTCTTGAGTTCAAGACGCCACCTCTTGGAGCGCTGTTGACGGCTCTTGGGGCTGCCTTAGAGCCATGCCGTAATCCTTCGGGGCTCTTGAGGCCAGTGTTTGGCCCTCTTGGGCCCATCTTGAGGA